TCCCACAGTTTGATTTAATTCATTAGTAAGATAGAGTACTTAATCACTTTTGTAGTTAACTCTGTCAGACACAATACTGTTGTCTTCAAGAATGGAAAACTTGACTTGCCTCAGACTGACTTAAGCAAGAAAATATCTTGTACAATAAAAGGTCCACAGATAGAATAGGCCCTAAGGATGCTTGAGTCTTCTGTTTAATGATATTCAGGGCCCAGGATCTTTCCGTCTCTTTGCTTTGCTGACACTGTTGGGTACTTCCCAAATGTTTTCATGCTTTCTTTTTCATATTTAACAGAGCAAGAGAAACACATCCCCACTTCCCCAGCTCAGAGCATGGACTATGAGACCTTTTCTTTCAATCTAGTTGGGCCATTATTTGTCATGTGCCTCTCCCTTACCATAGCTGCTGTCAGGGGAATGCCATGAGCTGACCGACGTATGCAAATCAAAATTATCCCAGGGGATGTGGTCACTTTTTCTTGAGTCATGTGAGGGAGAGATGAATACAGAGTGAGACTGGGCTTTGTAAGGAAAGAGAGAGAGACAGAGAAAGATTGGAATGGATAAACAAAATAACTGTATATCTATCCAGTGGAATATTATTTGACAATAAAAAGGAATAAAGTACTAATGCATGCTAAAACATGGATGTACCATGAAAACATTATGGTAAGTAAAAGAAGCCAGTCACAAAAGAGCACATATTATATGATTTTATTTAATGAGATGTCTAGAATAGGCAAATGTATAGGGAATAGGTAGTGACTGCTAATGGGTATAAGCTTTCTTTTTGGGATGATGAAAATGTTCTAAGATTAGTTTATGGTGATGGTTGTATAACTTTGTAAATATATTAAAATCATTGAGCTGTATACTTTAAATGAATAAACTTTGTAATGTAAACTATATACCAATAAAGCTGTTAAAGGGAGAGATGAATGGATGCTGTGTATGCAAACAACACTATCCCTTACTTGAATTATGATATACATAGTACTAAGATACCATTTTTCTTCTAGGTACATGGAACAGTGGGAGAACCCTGGTGGATTTGGGTAGAAGATCCTACGAATGATCATATTTATCATTCAGAGTATTTTCTAACTCTAAAAAAACAGGCAAGTGTACATATGTGAATATATCCTAACCTTATTATTTTGCCATCAGAAAAAGAAAATATATACTAACAATATCTGTTTTTACCTTATGTGTCTATAATTTTATAGGATCATTAAAGCTTTATTTCTTATGTTTTATGTTTCTGCTTGGTTTTAAAAAACACAGTGGTTAATTGTTACAGTATTGATTTTAGTTTAAGAAATTCAATTATCAGTCATGCACCACATAGCAGCAGTTTGGTCAACAGCCCACCACATATACAACAGTGGTCCCATAAGATTATAATACTGTATTTTTACTGTGCCTTTTGTATGTTTAGACATACAAATACTTACCATTGTGTTATAATTGCCTAAGGTATTCAGTATAGTAACATGCTATATGGGTTTGTAGTTTAGGCTATAAGCCATACAATATAGCCTAGGTGTGTAAGAGACTATGCCATTTAGGTAGATTTGTGTAAGTACATGACACTATGATGTTCACATGATGAAAGCACCTAATAATGTTTTCCAGAATGTTTCCAGCTACGCAAGACTGTTTAGATATACAGCCTATAATACACAGATATATAGATTTGATCTTCACCATAGTATAAGGCATGGGTTCCAGAGGTATGGACTATGTAAAATAGGTACAATAAATAATAATTTTAGGTGTTACGTGCACACATGTAACAATACTCTAAAAAGAATACTGACTCACATAGTGAAAAGAGCATTCCTTCTAAAATTCTATACGAATCACAAGAAAAAGACTCAAATTGATGCTGTTTTTTTTACTAATGCCTCATTTTTAATTTCTCTTTTTTATCAAAGAGAAAACAAGCTTCAGGCTGAGAGACGTGGGTGGGCAACAGTAGAATTTTATAGCAGTGTTTTGTATTCATTGCATCTGTCTTTATGGTTACCTTCTATTTATGCCAAGTGATTCTGGTATTCTACTTAAGGTACTGATAGATCTTAAAGAATAATGGGAAGTAAATAATATGGTAATTGGATATGGTAAAAAACATGAAGTTAAATAATTGAATGAAGGAAATTCTGATAATGAGTCAAATTGGTAACCTGTTAATACATGATGATATGCATATGTAAATAATATAATTTGAGTATAAAATTTTACCTTCTGTTATATCAGGTATCCATAGAAGGGAACCACCCACAAGTTTCTGAAGTGCCTCAATATCCCAACTATTTAGAAATCCAACATAATTTCTTTATTTTTAGTACATTTTGTGTATATACCATTGTCTTAACAATAGACTAAAAAAACCTTTATGCTATTAGAATATCCATATTTATTTTAGACTTCATTTCACCTTAGGTCATCAGTAAAGAAGCTCAGCTACTGGTATTTACAATCCCTATTTTTGAGCCTTTGCCTTCCCAGTACTACATCCGAGCAGTGTCTGATAGGTGGTTAGGAGCTGAGGCTGTATGTATTATCAACTTTCAACATCTGATTCTACCAGAGAGACATCCTCCCCATACAGGTAACATGTTGAATGTTAATTTGAATCATTGATTTCCCAAAATTGTTGTTTTAATGAATGTTGAAAAGTGTCTGTGCTTAAAAGTTGTTACAGTCTGAATCAAAATCCAACTTATTTGTCAATATTTTGAAAAGAGAATTTTCAAAATCAAATCTATGTGTGTATACATTTTGTAGAGCTTAATGGTAGACCTTAATTTTTACTTGTTTGAGTAAAAAACATTAAAAGCATTAAACTAAGCCTAGCCCAATTCCAGCAGTTCTAATAAGCATGAGACTCACTTTTTCTGTATCAATATGCCTTCATCTCCATTTTTATGTACAATCATTATAATTTCTCCATATCTCCCTTTTTCATAGCAAGTATCATTTATCATTTACTCTGAACTATTTGTGAAACTTTTGAGATATCCTTTTTTCTTTGCATTTATTTCAATTTACTTAAATTGAAATTACTTCAATTTATTTCTAGTATGTTAAGCTAACATACTTGGGAGTTTTAGAGGTTTTTTCCCCATCTGTTGTGCTTCTACACCAAAATAATTGCTAATATTAGGGATGTCATGTTATGATATCACTATAAAATAGATTTCCATATACTGTGAATTTGTGTTCTGCAAACAGCATGTACCTTTTACGTTAGTTTTATTCCTCCACACTAACAATGTAAAGAGGTATGTGGTAATCTGCAGCATCATATAACAATGCTTTTCATTGTCATACCCTGCAAAAATCCATATAATTTTCATAACATGAGTGAATACCTTTTTATTTTGACTTATAGAAGCAAAATTTCATGAATAAATGTTTACA